TGAGCCTTGACCACGTCCTCCTTGGAGCCGGGCAGCTGGAAACATTTCCTGGTGTTCACCTCCTTCTCGGTAGTCTCCGGCGTGATCTTGTACCGCATCCCGTACGGCTTCACCGCTGCCAGCTGGTAGGTTATCACCTGCCCTGTGCCAGCAGGAAGGGGAAACTGAGGCACGGTGGCCATGCCCGTGTCCTCCCTTTGCACAGGGCTGGGGCCGGTGCAGGATGGGCCCAGCCCGGCGCAGGATGTTGCCCGCCTGCTTACCCCCGTAATACTGGATCCGGCTCTTGTTCCCCGTCAGGTTGTACCAGGCTTCGAAGGGCTCCTCGATCTCAGCGTAGGGCAGGTTAATGACACCTGCAGGGCCCCCAGCGTGGGGCACGGGTCAACCCCAAGGCCTCAGCACCCTAACATCCCTCCCCGAGCCCCCCAGCACCTGCAGAGCATGAAGACCCACAGCTGCCCAAACTGCTGTCCCCATGGGTGCTGAGGCAGGGAGGGGCCCCCGGCTGTGGGAAGCTTCCCCAGTTTGACACTGGGATGGTCTGGTCCTGCCTGGTGCTGAGCATCCTCCGCTCCCCCCCCATGGCAATGGGCACTGTGGGGTCCCGTTACCTCGGACGTGGTAGATGGAGCCGAACTGAGGGGGTGGGCGGAAGAGCACATAGTCCTGTCCTGAAAGACAGAGAGGGGCAGGGGTGAGTGGGGGCTGTCCCCCCGCCACGGCCGAGCTGGGGATGGGGCGATCGGGGTGGGAGGCTGCCCGAGCCAGCGCCCCCCATCCCTGCGGCCCCTCCTGCGTGGGGCTGTGGGGTTTGGCTGAGGGCAGCTCCACGAGCCCACCCGTGGCACAGGACACTGCCACCCTCCCAGGGCCGGATCCAGGCTCAGCACCCCGCCACAACCTGCTGCTACGCTGGAGCGAGCCCTGCGGTGTCACGTCCCCAGGGAATTGTTGGGGTGATGTCCCCATGGGAGGTAGTGCCACCCCAGGGCTGGTGGCCGTGGCTTTGGGTGATGATTCCAAGGGGAAATTCAGCCAAGCTGTTCCCCACAAGCAGGACATGGTTGAGGGGTGCCGGAGAGCTGGCTGGCCCTGCCTGGCATCTCCCGGTGACCTCCCAAACCTCCCTCCGGGCTCCCAGCTTATGCAACCCCACGCCAACACACCCGCCGCTGGGAATGGACCTTTCCCTCCGTCAGCATCTTCCTCCTCGCCGGGAGCAACCCAGCAGCGATCACCTCAGGCAGCTGGGACCAGACCTGCCTCTCCTTCTGCACCCAAAACCTGGGGCAGGCAGGGACCGGCAGCCCCCGCTGCCTGCACCCCCAGGCCGTCCCAGGGGGGCCCGTTGTGCCCTGGGTCTGAGCACCCACAGACGGCTCCTGGGGCGGGAGGAGCAGCGATGGATCCACCAACCCCACAACCCTGCTTGGCTTTACAGCTGACTGGAAAAGGGGGTCCCGGGGGGGGGCACGGTCCCCACCCTGCCACCCCCATCCGCTCCTGCTGCTGCTGGTGACAGCTCTTGCAGGCAGCAAACTGTTTGGGCTTACGGGCAGGTTAAAACCCATCTGCCTCAATTTAGCTTTATTTCCTCCCCTCAGCCCCGTCAAGCCCTCCAGGCACGTCCCCCCCTCTTCTCTTTGCCACCCCACCCCAACTCTCTTCTGTCTTGGGGGAACTGCAGAATCGGGGACCCAACAAGCAACAAACCACTTCCCCAGCAACACGGTGAGACCTGCCTGGGTGCCCCCAGCTCCCACCCCCGGCGTGTCCCCGGCGGCGACAGTGCCACGGGGAGACAGAACTCACCCCGGACGGCGATGCAGAGCGCAGAGGCCACGAGCCAGCGGAGAACACCCATCCTCATCGCCCTGGCTCGCCCAGCACCAGCTCTCGCCTTTAACTGGAGCCAGCGGCGGTGAAACCCGGCGGAGCCAATGCAGGAGCCGGGGCCCTCCCCGGAGGAGGGAAGGAACCGGCATCATGTGGTGCCTGGCGGGGTGCGCGGGGGGCCGGGCACCCCGGGGTGCGCGGTGGGGAGAGCGTGTCTCGGCAGGGTCCCCACGGAGGGAGATGGAGCAACGCCGGGCGCTGCGGCGGGACGGGAGGTGCAGGATGGGCCCCAAAGAGCCGCCAGCAGCGAGGTGTGTGGGGGGGTGCAGACCAGATGGATCTGTGGGGTGCCCCCCCTCAAGCTGGCAGGGCACTGGGGTCCTCGGGGCTGTGTGTCCCCTCCTTGTGCAGGGTGCAAGGGGAGAACCTCCCTGGGGCTGGGGAGCTCTTTGCCAGGCAGCCCTGACGCCAGGGTGATGGGCAGGGGGCAGTGCCCATAGCAGAGGGCCGGGGCTGCGAGCAGCTTGGCATTAATGAGCCAGACCCTGAGACTGGGAGCACTGGGAATCCTCTGCCGTGGGGCTTGAAGTGAAGAAGAGCTGAGCTGGCCGTGGGGTGCAGGGAAAGGTGGGCACCCCACAGCCAGCCCCAGCCCCCCCGGGTTTGGGCAGAGGGCTGGACATGGTGCGTGTGGGCCCTCACTCACCACTCAGCCTCTCTGACCGCAAGGAGGGAAACTGAGGCACGGGGCGGCAGCCGGGCTGAAAGGGAGAGCCTCGTCTAGCACAGCAAAGAAGCATTTCCTCCAGAAACCCAGGGAAACCACCCGCCTTCCCCCACACCCCTACCTGCCTCCGAGGGCTTTGGGGGCCCCCCTGCCCCTCTCTGCTGGGGCTCCAGCCTCCCCAGGCGACAGGGGCAGAGATGGGGACACTCCTGGGGGGGGATTTATATGCCACCACATCCCCATTTCCATCCTGCCCAGGGGCAGAAGGCTGGGAGCCCTCTTAGCAAGGCTGTCCCCTCGCGCCTCCCCCCCCCCCCCCCAGGGATGTCCGATGCCAGGCTGTGTCCCCCAGGGATGGGGGACCCCCTGGCAGCCCGTCTCCCCAAGCTTTGCCAGACTCACCCCCCCCAGCCATGTGCTGCAGGGTCCCGGGGGGTGGGTGTTCAGCACCTCTGGCACCCCAGAACCTGGCCCTGGCCCCTCCATGGGGTCAGGGCACCCTGCCCGGGGGGCCGGCAGCTGGGCTGGGGGGCAGGGGGAAGGCAGGGTTGGGCCGGCTCTTTTCAAGTCAGAGGGCAAGTGCCCTCCCTGGGGCTGAAGCCAGCCAGAAACACGGGGAGCCACAATTTGGGAAGGGTCCTGGGAGCCCAGGTGGAGCCTGGAGGGGCTCATCACTCTGCAGGTGACGGCTGCTGAGCAGCCCCTGTCCCTGCTGTGCCCTGTCCCCTCCCAGGGACACTGGCAGGGCTGGCTCCGTCCCCAGCAGGGTCTGAATCCCCCCTCAGCAAGACCCAGAGAGCCCCCCAAACCCCCCAAAGCTAGGTTTAAAGGGGAGCTGTGATCCCAGGGCGAGTCAGGGTGTGACAAGGTGAGCGTGGCATCAGCCCAGGGGGCAGGTCCCTGTCCTGGTGGGGACCCAGGACCTCCAATAACCCTTCCCCCCCCCCTTCCCCCCCCCCCCCCCATGAGAACAGGAAACACCAGGGCCGGACTCACCGTCACACAGGAAAGAGGTCAGCCTGCGAGGGCTAACCGCAGGGAGAGGAGGAGGAGGAGGAGGAGGAAGGCTCTGGAGAGATGGAGAAGGACCCCCATCCACCAGCACTCAATCCAGCCCAGCTGGACGGGGTGGCAGCCAGCTCCGGGCTGGAGCATGACTGCAGCACTCCCCCCCCCCCTTCCCTGCATATCCTCACCCCCCCCTTGGGAACACGAGCCCATGCCGGAAACTGCGGTGAGGGGGCACATAAAAATATCACCGGCCCCTCGCTGTTACCGGCCCCTGCGGTGGGAGGGCGGCCGGGGGCTGGGGGGGCCGTGCAGGATCAGGCCCAGGTGAAGTTGCAAAGAGTATTTCCAGCTGGAGAGGTTTTGCCTTGCAGGGGCGGTTTCCCCGCACCCTGGATTTGCACGGGGGGTTCCCCCAGTGAGGGAGCTCCATTGAGACACCCCCCCCCCCCCCCAGCCCAACCGTGATCTGGGGGTTGGGGTGCCAAAAGCCTGAGGTGCTCTCTGCAGGGTGGGTGCCCCAGCGCCCTGGGCTGGAAGAGCAGACAGGGTGCTGGGGGGCTCAGGCAGGGTGCTGGGGGGGTCACCCCCCCCTCTCCCAGAGTTTGTTGACGTTTCGGTGGGTCAGTGTGACCGATGCCAAATCTTGGGCTCATCCCACCAGCAACTTTATCTGGACAAGGAGTAAATAAGGGGTCGAGGGGTAAAAAAGGGGTCCGGTATCTGGTGGATTATGAACGGCCACAGCAACTGCTTGAGCTGAGTGGGAGCTGCACCCTGTCCTGGGTGGACACGCGGGAGCCCCCCCCAGAATGTGGTCCCCAGCCATCTGCCAGGCAAGGTGGGCTGCTCACCCCTCTCCACAGCTCTGCCCTGCCCTGAGGTCACCCCCTCCCAGCAGAGACCCCGTGCCAGGAGGCCGGGTGGCTGCTGGGGGTGCGCTGCCGTCCGACCGTCACCTTATTCCTGCCCCTTGCAGGGTCACAGCCCCCCTTTTTGCAATATGCTGTCCCCACACCGTCCCCGGCCCGGGGATGCTGGCTCAGGGAGGGGTTCTGGGGGGGCGATGGGGTGATGCCAGGCTGGCTCGGGATGGGTGCAAGCAGCACCCCAGCCCAGCGTGAGCTGCCTCCGGGAGCGGCGCTGGACCCCACAGAGCCCAGTATCCCCACGCACACCCTGTAAACCCCATCAGGCAGAGCCCCGGGGAGCCGCAGCAGTGTCCCGCCGTGCTGCTGGGGATCGGGGACCTCCTCGTGCCATCCTGTGTCCCCCACCCCGTGCCACCTCCCCGGGCAGGCGGAGGTTGCTGGAGGGTGAGCCGGCGGCCGCCCCGGCTGGGCTGACTGGTACAATGAACCATTGCTGGGAGCGCGGGGAGGAAAGGGGGGGCGAGGGGAGGGGAAGCTCTTGCTCGGCTGCGAGAGCCGCCGAAGAGACAGGGGAAACACACGCACAGGCGTTCCCGCTCTCCCCACGGCACTCGCCTCGCCCTGCCCTGCCCTGCCACCCGCCTCGACACCCCGGTCCCCAGCGCCGGGCGGTTCGGGGTGCTGCGGTGGCACCCCGGCCTGCGGTCCCGCTTGGGGGGGGGGGCAACGTGGGAACGGGGGTCCATGCGAGCCGGAGCTGACGGTAGGAGGGATGGATGGGGCTGCGTGGGGCGTGGGGTGCTGGGGGGGTGGGGTGGGGGGGCTCTGCCCCCTGCAATAGCGGGGAGGGTCTCTCAAGCCCCTTGTTGTGTGCTGGGGAGGGGGGGGGCTGAGAGCTGCCCTTGCCATGCGTGGGGTGGCTCTGGGTCCAGGGTGGGATGGGGCACTGAGCTGTGGGGACAGAGGGCCCCGTGCCCCAGGTGGGGGGCTACTGGGGGGCTACCACCAGGCCCTGCCCTCCCCGCTCCCCTCTGGGCAGCACCAGCCTCTGCAAAGAGCCTGGTGGGGGGGTGCGGGCAGGAGACCCCCATCCTCCACGTCCTGGGGGGCAGTTGGTCAGTGGGGGGGGTGGGGTAGGCAGCACACCCCGGGGCCGTGGCGTGGGGCAGGTTGGGGGGCAGCTGCCAGCTCCAGCTCGCCCTCCCGGCACTAGTCAGTGGCGACGCCACGGCGGGGAGGCTGCCGAGACAAATGGTGCCTTTGCCAGCCCCGGACCTGAGTGCTGGGGAGGGGGGCAGGTCACAGCACCCCGGGGGACACCGGGATGGGGGGCACATCTGCTCCCCCCAGACCCACGGGTGCCCATGGTGTGCCAGCCCAGAAAGTGCTCACTATGTGTGTGTGTGTGGGGGGGGGGGGGGGGGTGATGCTGGAGGCTGAGCTCTCCCCAGCCAGGGCTGGGGGCAACTGTGGGGGGCTCGGGCCCTGGCCGGAGCGGGTGCTCCCCCCTGTTCCCTGCAGCTCTGCCTTGTCCCCAGAACTTGGTGTGTCCCAAGGAGGGACAGGAACTCGCCGCTTCCTGCCCTGCACAATTCCCTCCCCACCCCGCTCCTCCCGGGACATTGTATTTGGAGCCCTGGCCGGCTCCCTCCCTCCGCCCCTGCAGCCCCTCGGATCCGGGAATTGCTCTTCTTCCAGCGGAAATCCTGCTTTCCCAGCCAGCGATGGGGCTGGGAGCCTGGGGGGGGAGGTCCTCCCTCTGCCCTGGGCATCTCCTCCCAGGGCAGGGGGCTCGGGGACCCCCCCCTGCCATGAGCCTGGTGGCTGGCGGGTGGGCTTGTGGGGGCAGATCGCTTTTGGGGGTGGGGTAGCACCCTGCCAGCTCCTAGGGCTGGCACAAAGATGATGCTGGCCAAGTGCTGGCCATGCCTGGCTGGAGCACAGCTGGTTTTGGGGGGCCCCAGCCCCCTTTGAGCCCTGCCCTGCTCTCAGGCAGGCCGGGGAAGGGGTGTCCCTGCAGGCATCGCCGCTGGCGAGCGCCCAGGACGAGCATCGTGTCACCATCACCTTCCCAACGGGCACAGCCGGCACTTCCAGCCCGCTACGTACCCCAACCAGGGTGGGACACCCCGCCGGGAAACCCACGCTCGGGGGATCCTCTTGTGGTTGTCACCCCAGCTAAATGTTACCCAGCGGAGCATTGCGCCCTGTCCCGCTGCCGCTGCCGGCGTCCCCACATCTTGCAGCGTTCCGGAGCCACATCTTCATGGTGTGGGTCTCTCCAGACACAGCCGGACCCCCCCCCCCCCCACTCCAGTCCCTCCTCGCACCCCCTCTCCTCGGGGAATCTGCTCCCACTGAGGCCGAGCTGGTCCAGGGGCTGCTGTGCTCTGCTGGGAGCTGCAGGGGACTCATCAGGCACTGGGGGAACTGGAGCAGGAGCAAGGCTCTACCCCAGGGTCCCAGCTGTGGGTCGCAGGGCTGGGCTCGGGGCTGGGGGCAGCAGGGAAGGAGCAGGGACATGTCACCCTCTGTCACCACAGCGGGCCGAGGAGCGGGCAGCGGAGAGGTAGAATGTGTCCTCTCGTCCCTTCCCCAGGTCTGAGAGGGTCCTGAGCACAGGATGGGGACACAGCTCGGAGTCGTGTGTCCTAATGAGCCACCTAAAATGAGGCACCTTCCCCTCCTGCGCTGCAGCTGCTTCGCGCCTCAGTTTCCCCCCAGGATCAGGGAGGTCCAGAGCTCCAGGGTGATGAGGGAGCCTGGGCGAGCTCCAAGCCGGGCTGTGCAGCGATCTCGGTTCCTCTTCCCCCTGCGAGGCTGCGGCAGGGCGGGCAGGGCCGCCCGGGAAGGACGGGGGGGGGGGGGTGCAGGGAGAAGTGGGGGTGGCACAAAGCATGGCAGGGACACAGAGTGCCCAAGGAGCTGCAGCCACTGCCCAGCCCCGCTGTGGTCCCTGCCTGGCCCTCCCAGCTGCCACCGTCCCCACGGCCTGGGATCCTGCTAGATCTGAGGTTCCCTTTGGTGACCGCAGCACCATCCTCTTCCTCCTCCCCCATGCAGTGCTCCTGCTGCTTCCTCCTCCTGCTGCGTAGGTGCCGGCCGGGTTCCTCTGCCAGCTGCCCCTTTGCCACCCGCACACTCCCCGGGGGACACCTGGGTGCCAGGGACCCCCCCCTCAGCCTGGCAAATGCCACCCTGGCTTGTCCCCACAGCAGCTGGGAGCGTGACATTTCCAGCAGCCCCCCCATCTCTCCATGGGGCTGCATCCCCCCCGCCTCCTCGGTCGCTCTTATTCCCCCGAGGGGAATGGAGGCAGAGGGTGGGGGTGATCCCCACAGGGTGCCTCAGCACCGAGGGTGACACGCGGGGTGACACCGGTGTGCACCGGGGGACATTGCCCTCCGACTCAGAGCCGGGAATGGGGCTGAACTGCCCCATTGTCCCCAGGGAGGGGGGGGGGCAGGGAGCAGCAGATGGAGGGGTCTCCGGGGGTGCAGCTGCATCCCGGCGGGGTGGGGGGCAGCAGCAGGGGTGATGAGTTGGCTGAGTCTCAGCGCGAGGCGGGAACTGGCAGCTCGGCGCCAGTGGAACTGGTGCGGGAAGGGCTCGGTTGCCATCTGCTCCCGGGCTCCAAGCAGCTCCTTTTCGGGAGAGCCGGGGCCAGATGCCAGCACACAGCCATCGGACACGGGGGCTGGCTGTGTCCCCTCCCCAGTGATGACACAAGGGGACGTTTTTTGTGCCACCCTGCCCACTTGGGAGGTGGCGGGGACGCGCCTGGGAGTTTTGTGGGTGCCCAGAGAAGGGGAAACATGGGTGCAATGTGGAGCATGGCACGAGCAGCATCTAAACCCCGCAGTGCTGCGATATTTCGGGCTTGTGCTTGCCCTAAAGACGCTCCTTGCCTGTCCAATCCCTGCCGAGAGCCGCGGCAGCGTGGCCACTGCGCTTGGCACAGAAATTCAGCAAAATGGGAAGTTTCTGAGCACGATGCCGGCCACGGGGTGGGCGATTCCCACCCAGAGGGAACAAGGTTTGCGAGAGCCGGGGATGTTTGTCAGCTGCAATAGCCACTTATCGTCAGCAAAAATAAAGACCCCGACTAGTCAAGCCCTCTCGGATTTGGCAACGCTGCCTCATCTGCAACGGCCGTGGCCTTGCCACACTGCTGGTGTCGAAAGCAAAGTTGGAAGGGGCAGAGCTGGGCCCTTTCCACCCCCTGCCGAGAGAGAGGAAGGTGAATCAAAGACCGTGACAGGGGAAACACGCCTGAAACGTGTCATCCACCCCAAAACCTCCATCTCCTCCTGCCCTCCGGAGCGCAGGGGACAGGACACGGCTGCTGGGTGAAGCACAGCTTCATGGCACCTTCCCTCCGCTCTCAGGCTGGAGACGGGGCGAGCTCTGCAAGAGCCCTCGACCAGAGAGCTCTGCTCAGTTTGGACTGGGCAAACTGGTGCGGGTGGGTGGCCAGCACCCAGGGGAGGTGTCAGGGCTGGGGACAGAAATGTCTCCTTGCAGCCACAGAGGGAGAGGTCCGATTTCCTCCTCCTCCTCCGTGACCGTCTTCGCTACTGAGCCGGAAGAGCGCGGCCCCGACCGCAGCGAGGCGTGAAGGTCCCTTCCTCCCCCGAGACACCAGTTCCCCCACCGAGCAGAGGGGACGGGGATGCTTTGAGGGCTCCTTGCCACCCAGGCTGGCCCCCTCCAGCCTTGGGGCAGCCGGGGAACGCATCCCCCCTTGGGGGGAGGTGATCGGTTTGTTGAGGACACGGTGGGAGAAGAACCCGCTTGAGGATGTGGTTTCAGCCCCAGTGGGGGTGTTGCAGCCTGTGCAGGGGTGTTGCAGTTCATGCAGGGGCGTTGTAGCCCATGTAGGGTTGTTGCAGCCCGTGTAGGGTTGTTGCAGTTCATGCAGGGGTGTTGCAGCCCATGTAGGGGTGTTGCAGCCCATGTAGGGGTGTTGCAGCCCATGGCAGGGGTGTTGCAGCCCATGTAGGGGAGTTGCAGCCCATGAAGGGGTGTTGCAGCTCATGCAGGGGTGTTGCAGCCCATGGCAGGGGTGTTGCAGTTCATGTAGGGGTGTTGTAGCCCATGTAGGGGTGTTGCAGCCCATGGCAGGGGCGTGTTTTAACCCATGTAGGGGTGTTATAGCTCACGTAAGGGTGTTTCAGCCCATGCAGGGTTGTTGGAGTCCATGAAGGGGTGTTGCAGCCCATGGTAAGGGTGGTGTTGCAGCCCATGTAGGGGTGTTGCAGCCCATGAAGGGGTGTTGCAGCCCATGGCAGGAGTGTTGTAGCCCATTCAAGGTGTTACAGCCCGTGCAGGGGTGTTGTAGCTCATGCAGGGGTGTTGCAGCCCATTCAGGGTGTTGCAGCCCATGAAGGGTGTTGCAGCCCATGAAGGGGTGTTGCCCCCCGCCTGATGCCCTCCCCCGGTGTCCACAGGTGCCTCTTCTCCCCCCCGAGGTGACATGGAGCAGCTGAAGTGACCCACGGAGCCATCTCAGTGAGTGGGGTCGCCATGGACAGGAGCACCCCCGGGTGCCAGGAGGGACGCGGGGTCCCCCAGGCAGCACAGCCCTCCTCGCAGCCTGGTCCTTGGTGTCCCCATGTCACAGCCCAGCCACCCAGCTTGCTGTGCCAGGGGGTGGCAGGACCCTGCTCCTCCTGGGGCCGGGGAGGGGGGTGGGCAGGGGCTCAGGCATGCCCCCCAGTGCCTCTAACTGGGACAATGTGCACACACACGTGTGCCCATGTGTGTGCACACGCGTGTGCTCTGCCGGGGGGGGGGGGGGGGCGTGGGGCTCACGGTCCCCCCGTCCCCCAGGCCGTGCCCAGGATGGGCTGTGTGCACTGCAAAGAGAAAGTGTCCAGCAAAGGGCAGGGGGGGGGGCGAGGTGGGGCCCCCCCCGCCCCCCGCCTCCCAGTACGACCCCGACCCCACGCAGCCGGGCGCCATCTTCACCCGCATCCCCGATTTCAACAACTTCCACGGCACGGCGATGCCCACGACTCCGTCCTTCACGGGGCTGGGGGTCCTCACCTCCAACACGCTGCAAATGCGGAGCGGGGGCATCACAGGTCAGCTCTGGGGGGGTGAGGGGAGGGGAGGGGGGGGGGGGCGGGGTCCAGCTGCACCCCTGAAGTGCTGGGGTGGGGGACCCGGGGGCTCACCACGGTCCCCTCTGTGTGCTGCAGGCGGGGGTGTGACACTTTTCATCGCCCTGTACGACTACGAGGCCCGGACAGAGGACGACCTGACCTTCCAGAAAGGGGAGAAATTCCACATCATCAACAACACGTGAGCCCCCGCCCCCAACCCCCACCCACCCCAATCGCCCCCCCACCCCCCAGCACCCCCAATGCCACCCCAAGGACGTGCTGACGTGCCACGGGTACTCCCACAGGACCCAGGCTGGGCACCCAAGCTCTGCCTCGGCTCCATCGCTGGCTAACCCGCAAGAGAGCCGGGGCCATGTGTGTCATGAGTTGGGTGGTCTCAGCAGATATGGGTGCCTGCTGTGGTGGGGGAGAGCGGGATCCGGGGGTGCTGTGTGCAGCCAGGTTTGTCTGTCTGTCCCTCCTCCTCACTTTCTATTCCTCTTTCCCCAGGGAGGGTGACTGGTGGGAGGCCAGGTCGCTGAGCTCAGGTACCACAGGCTACATCCCCAGCAACTACGTGGCCCCCGTGGACTCTATCCAGGCAGAAGAGTGAGTACGAGGCGGGGGTCAGGGATGGAGGCAGACCCTGACCCCATCTGCCTCTGACCCAGGTGTCCTGGCACCCCCGGTGAGCCCTGGCAGCGCCGTGGTGCTGGCAGGGGGGCCGTGGCGTGGGGTCCCCGTGGGCGCTGAGCCCGTCCCCGCTGCAGGTGGTACTTCGGGAAGATCGGGCGCAAGGATGCAGAGAGGCAGCTCCTCTGCCACGGCAACTGCAGGGGCACCTTCCTCATCCGGGAGAGCGAGACGACGAAAGGTACGGGGACAGGGACGGGGACACCGGGGACTGCGCCCCGCGTCCCTCCCTGGCCCACCCTGACCCGTGCCCCCCACGTAGGTGCCTACTCCCTCTCCATCCGGGACTGGGACGAGGCCAAGGGAGACCACGTCAAGCACTATAAAATTCGGAAGCTGGACAACGGGGGTTACTACATCACCACCCGCGCCCAGTTCGACACCGTCCAGCAGCTGGTCCAGCATTATATCGGTAGGGTAGGATGGGGGGCACGGGGAGGGGTGTCAAGGGGTGATGGGGAGGGGTGGGGAAATCCCAGGAGACCTTTTGACAAGAGACAACCAGCTGGGCTAACTGGGTTTAACTGGAGAAGGAGGGGGCTGTTCTGGTGGTGGCGTTAGGGGACCCCCTGAGGGTCCCCCCTCTTCCGTGTCCCCGGTGCAGGGTGCACCCAGCCTCTCTGGAGAAGGTAAATAACTCCCGGGTCTGGGTGGGCATCAGCCACCCCCCAGGTGCAGCTGGGGGGAGTGAGGGTCCAGCCCAGCCCGAGGGGGTGTGGGGCTGTCCCTGGGGGAGCTGGAGGGGGGTGCACCCCATTTATCTATGTGCTTGTTTGGGGGGGGAGGGGGTTTGGAGCACGCAAGAGCCTGGGCGATGCTCGGGGTAGCGGGTGGGGGCCAAGGGGCTGGCGGGGGGATCCGTGCCCAGGCTGATGTGTGTGTGTGTGTGTGTGTGTCCCCCTCCCCGTCCCCGTGCCGCAGAGCGGGCGGCTGGGCTGTGCTGCCGCCTGGCCGTGCCGTGCCAGAAAGGAACCCCCAAACTGGCTGACCTCTCGGTCAAAACCAAAGACGTGTGGGAGATCCCCCGCGAGTCCCTCCAGCTCCTCAAGAAGCTGGGCAACGGGCAGTTCGGGGAAGTGTGGATGGGTAGGGCCCAGTGGGCAAGCCGGGGCGAGCAGTGAGGGGGGTGAGGGGGGGGGGCACCCCCAGGCCTGGCACACCCTCCACCCCCCTGAACAGAAGAGCTCCTGCCTGCTGGGACAGGCTGAGCGACGCAATTTTCCAGGCATGGGGAAATGTCCCATGTCCTGCTCTGGGGTCACAATGGGTACCCCAGGGTGCCCCATAATGTCCCTGCATGTGCAAGCAGCCCCCCCATTTTGGATGGGACAACAGACAGGAGACAAAACCAGGCCGGGGGGGGGGTCCCCTCTTTGTCATCCTCTTCCCCTGGCGCCCCGTGCTCCCTCCGCTCGGCGTGCATGCTGCATTCATCCCATCGCACCCCCTCCCTCCCTGCGCCCCCCCCTGCAGAGCGTAACGACGGGTTGTGCCATCTGCTAACCCGCGCGTGCCCCGCTATGAAGCCCCAGACCCTGGGATTAGCTAAAGATGCCTGGGAGATAGTGCGGGAATCCATCAGCCTCGACAAGAAACTCGGCATGGGATGTTTCGGAGACGTGTGGATGGGTAAGGCTGGCCCAGCCGGCCGGGGTGGGGGGGACACGGGGAGCAGGAGCAGTCCAGTCCGGCCCTGGCAGGCAGCGTCCTGGGATGCCAGGAGATACCCACTGATGGGGGGGGGGTGGGGATGGAAGTTTGGCACAGGCTCCCCCCTGGAGGGATGGGGAACGGGGTAAGGCTGGCACGAGATGAGCTCACGGGTGCCTTGTCCCCACGCCACGGGGTGAGGGGGACTCCTTGTCCTGGGTGGGGTATGGTGGCATCATGCCCCTTCTTTGCCCTGCCCTGATTTCCTCGCTCCTCCATCCATGCACCTCTCCATCCATCCCTCCATCCCTCCATCCATCCACGGAAGCATGCACCCACGCACCCCTCCATCCCCGCACCCCTCCATCCCGGCCCTCCCGGGGCTGGCTGTCCCCCCGCCCTCGCCGTGACCCCACGTCCCCGGCCCAGGCACGTGGAACGGCACCACGAAGGTGGCAGTGAAGACGCTGAAGCCGGGCACCATGTCCCCTGAGGCCTTCCTGGAGGAGGCTCAGATCATGAAGCGGCTGCGGCACGACAAGCTGGTGCAGCTCTACGCCGTGGTGTCGGAGGAGCCCATCTACATCGTCACCGAGTTCATGAGCCAGGGTGAGCGGGACCCTCCAGCTTTTCGTCCCCCAGCTCTTCTGCAAAGCCTCACCCTGCCCGGGCATGGCCGGGGTGGGCAGGGAGCTGGTCCCAGGGCCGGGGGCTTGCAGGGGAGGGCACCCTTGGGTGGGCACGGGTGGTTCTTGGGTGCTTTGATGCCACGCTCTGCCTGCAGGCAGCTTGCTGGATTTCCTGAAGGACGGGGACGGCCGCTACCTGAAGCTGCCCCAGCTGGTGGACATGGCTGCCCAGGTATTGGGGAGCCTGGCACGGGGTGGGGGTGCCCCCCAAGGGGTGCATCTGGGGGGTCCTCACTGCTTCCCCTCCCCCCCCCCCCCCCCCCCCAAAAAAAAGATCGCAGCGGGCATGGCTTACATCGAGCGAATGAACTACATCCACCGGGACCTCCGCGCTGCCAACATCCTGGTGGGAGACAACCTGGTGTGCAAGATCGCTGACTTCGGCCTCGCTCGCCTCATCGAGGACAACGAGTACACGGCGCGCCAGGGTGAGCTGGTCTGGGGACAGCTGCCCCGTCCCCTCCGTGCTGCGTCCCACCCTGGGCCTGGGGTTGGTCAACCCCAATGCTGGGTGCCCTGGGTGATGGGTGCCCCAGGGGGTTGGTGCCCTGGGTAATGGGTACCCTGGGTTTTGGATGCCCTAGGTGATGGGTGCCCTGGGTGATGGGTGCCCCAGGCGATGGGTACCCCAGGGGATGGGTGCCCCAGAGGATGGGTACCCTGGGTGAAGGATGCCTCAAGTGATCGGTACCCCAGGGGATGGGTGCCCCAGGTGATGGGTACCCCACGGGATGGGTGCTCCAGGTGATGGGTGCCCTGGGTTTTGGATGCCCTAGGTGATGGGTGCCCCAGGTGATGGGTACCCCAGGGGATGGGTTCCCTGAGTGAGGGATGCCCTAGGTGATGGGTGTCCCAGGTGATGGGTGCCCTGGGTGATGGGTGCCCCAGGTGATGGGGGTACCCTGGGTGATGGATGCCCTAGGTGATGGGTGCCTCAGGTGATGGGTGCCCCAGGGGATGGGTACCCCACCTAATGGGTGGTACCCCGGTTGATGGGTACCCCAGGTGCAGAGTGCCCCCAGTGCAGGTTGTCCTGGGTGCTGGGTACCCCCCTAGAGCTGGATGACCCATTTGTGGGGTACCCCAGGCAGGGCGTGCCTCGGATGTGGGTGTCCCCAGTGCATGGTGTCCCAGTGCAGGGCACCCTGGGTGCAGGATGCCCTCAGTCCAGGGTGCTCCAGGTGCGGGGTGTCCCCAGTTCTGGGTGCTCCAGGGTTGGGGTACCCCGGGTGCGGGTCCAGCGGGGGTGCCCTGGTCATGGCTCACCTGCCTCCCCTTGCAGGTGCCAAGTTCCCCATCAAGTGGACGGCCCCGGAGGCAGCGCTTTTTGGGAAGTTCACCATCAAATCAGATGTCTGGTCCTTCGGCATCCTCCTGACTGAGCTGGTGACCAAAGGCCGGGTGCCCTACCCAGGTACAGCCCCACCGGGGCAGCGGGCACCCTTGGGGTGGGCTAGGCAGTGGGGTGGAGGTGACACCCCCCCCAGGACTGCCACCAGCAAGGCTTGCCCTGTGCCTCAGTTTCCCCACCAGAGAGACCAGCACTAAGCTGGGCTCCCTATCCAAACCACAGAGCAATGCTGTCGCGCCCCTCGGCGTGCCTCGGTTTCCCCACTGATTTGTCCCATGGTGGCTGAGTGGGGGGGTCCTTTATCACGTAGGGATGAACAACCGGGAGGTGCTGGAGCAGGTGGAGCGGGGCTACCGAATGCAGTGTCCGGGCAACTGCCCCCCCTCCCTGCACGAGGTGATGGTGCAGTGCTGGAAGCGGGAGCCCGAGGAGCGCCCCACCTTCGAGTACCTCCAGTCCTTCCTCGAGGACTACTTCACCGCCACCGAGCCCCAGTATCAGCCGGGGGACAACCAGTGACCCAGCGCTGGCACCCCCCCCAGCTGGGCTCTGGGGTGGCTTTTTGGGCAAATCTCCCCCTTTTTGCAGGGCGGTTGTTGCTCCTTTTGCCTGTGCCCCCCGCCCCCCAAAACTTGGGATGCCCCAGGGAGGACAGGCAGCTTTGCACAAGGATTTTGGACTCAGAGAGGGGGCAAAGCTGTTTGCCCCCCCCAGGACCGCCTCCCCCCCCCTCCCCCCCCTTCATTGCCTTCACACCAACTTTGAACCTGAGAAGTGCTTTGGCTGGGGGCAGGAGCGTGGGGTACCCCACGGTGCCCCCCCAGGCACCCCCAGTCCCACAGCAGCAGAGGCCTCAGGGGGTGGGGGGGCCTCCCCCATGCCAACCCCAATCTCCTCTTCCCCAGGTCAGCTCTGCATGATTGGGGGGGGGTTCAGCCCCCCAAATCCTGGCGCTGACCCAGGGAAGGTCACCTCAACCCTCCCCTTTATAATGTCTTTAATTTATAAGATTTTATAGCACTCACCCCAGCAGCCACTTCACCCCCCCGGGGATTCCTGTATTTGGGGGGATCCCCTTGCCTCCCCCCCTTTTATCTCCTCTCCTTATAGTAGAGCTGAATCCTGAAAACCATAAACCTCTGCTTGCACTGGGGGGGGGGGAACAAGGGGTTCTGGGGGGGGGGACACAATGTGTCCCGCGGGGGGGGACCATGGGCACAGGCTACGGGGGAGCAGCTCTGCCCTGGGGGCTGTTTCCCACTGCCCCGTGTGGGGCAGGAGGGGGGTACGGGATGGGGTCACCCCTGCAGCGTTCGGGGGTGGGGGGTGTCCCAGCTGCAGCTTGGCTCAAACCCCTGCAGCAAGCATTAATGGGGGGCTGGGGGGGAGACTCGGAGCACAATGTGAATGTGATGGCACTGGTGGGGGGGGGGTGTGTGTGGGATGCCACGCTGCCAGCTGGCTCCTGGGGGCCGGTTGCCCCCCTGGGCACCCCCTTTCCTGGGGAATGGGGTGTCTGTAGTCCCAGGCTTGGCCCCAGCCCGGCTCCCCATGGCCAGGAGCCCCCCTGCATCCATGGGGCAGGGCTGTGTGTGGGCAGTGCCTCCGGGGGGGGGGGTGTGGGGGGTGGGGATGTGAGGGAATGGGAGGGATTTGTTGTTTATTTTTTTTTAAATCCAGTCTGTAAATAGAGAGAAATAAAACCTTTCTAACAAGTGGGGGGAGCCTGGGTCCTTCTGCCCCCCCCCCGGGAGAGGGACTGCCCCGGCTGGGGATAGGCGCTGGGCAGGGTGGGTTGAAGGGGGGGTGTGGGGCGGCTAGGGATGGGGGAAACAACCCTGGATTGCAAGATTTGGGGTGGGGGCACCCATCCCCACGCAGGCAGGCTCCCAGGTTCAGCCAAGCCAGGGTCATATCCTGACGCCCTCCAGCCCCGACATACCCTGGGCGGGGGGGGGGGGGGGGCACCTCTATGGGGGGAGAGCAGTGGAAGCCCCCCCCCTGCCCCCCCACCCCCCACCCCAGGCCATCTGGGGTTGCAGCACCAGCTCCCCTTGTAAATAAAAGCCCGGAAAAGGAGGGTGGGAAACATTTGGGTTTGCAAAACTGCCCCCACACAGAGCACCCCACAGCCCCCCCTGCACCCAGCGTCCCCCCCCCCCCCAACTAGCTCCCAGGCATGCGCGTTAATGAGGCAGCAGCCTGTGTTTAATTAGCAGGGGGGGTGTCTCTGGGCAGGGTCTGGCCGGGGGGAGCTACTGCCCCCTCCTCCGTGTGAGGGCAGACGTGCTGGGGGGGGGTGTCCTGTGCTTGTAGGCTGGGGAGGAAGAGGTTAATTTTCCTTGCAGCTTGGCCTCCCCAGCAGGGCCCAGCTGTGGCCGGCTAATGAATTCCCCAGCACTGGTGGGAAGGGGGGACTGGCCCCGGCCCCATCCAGGGCGGGGGGCTCAGGCTGGGGGGGGTGGGGGCGAGGGGGGGGAGGAGGCGGCCCCGGGCAAGTGGGGAGGGGGGCAAGGAGGCAATGCCAGCGGGTTTGGGGACATGCCCGGGGGGCTTGGGGACATGCCACCATCCCTGGGCACCGCCGGGCACCTCCCTGGCTCCTGCTTCACCCCTACAAGGGTTGCAAATCCCGGGGGGGGGGGGGGGGAGGCGGGGGGGAGGGAGCTGGATGCGCCTGCCCCTCCTTCCCCATCCCGGGGAAAAATCCCTGCGGGAAGGGCCAGGCTTGGCTGGGCAGGGTGGCACGATGCCCGGTGCTGGGGGGGGGGTGGGGGTGGTGGTGGTGTCGGGGGGAGAACGGGGCGGGCAGCAGATTGCGTGGCACCGCCAGCCGAAGCGAGGAGGTGGTTGGCACCGCTGCCACATCGCTCCGGCCACCCCACGCCTGGGGCTGGGCACGCAGGGACACGAGGTGGGGGGCGGGGGGGGGGGGGGGCAGGGGGGATGTGGGGCACCCCACGGGCACGGCAGCGTCACCATCACCCCCAATCTCCGCAGGGGCTCTGGGGCTGGGGGCTGTGTCACACACACACCCCCCCCCCACCCCAGGGTTTCCCTCTCTGCCCCCCCCCACCCCCTCGTATCAGCCCCGCGCTTGTTGAGCACACACGTGTGCTCAGCACACACGTGTACATGTGCATGCTGCGTGTTCTGGGTGTGCACACACCCCACCCCACCCCCCCACATTTCCAGTGCACACCAGCTCTGGCACACCCCCAGCACCCCAAAACCACTCTCCCTTTGTGTGTGTGTGGGGGGGGGGGGCACACATGTCTCACCCATGTGATGTGTCCCGTGTCCCCAGGCCCACAGGAACACACGTGCTGTCCCTCTCCAGCCCCATGCAGCGGGGGGGCAGAGCCTTCCAGCCGGGGGGAGCACCCCGTTTTAACCCCCAGCTCTGCGAGCCGGGCACAGCACTACTCAGTGAAACAAAACAAGGTTGGGGGGGACCCCCCCCAGTGTCCCCTGACACCGGCGCTGGGCAGGGTCCATCCGCAGCTCAGCACTGGTAATTAAATCCTCCCACTTAATTGCAACTGGACATTTATAGAGCAGGGCTGGCACGAGGAGGGGGGCCATAGGGACCCCAACATCGGGGGGGGGCCAGGCAGCAGCCTCTGCCCGCAGCAGCTCAGTGCTGGCTCGGGCGGGGGGGGGGAGAGATGGATGGGGTGGGCACCTCTGGAGAGAAGGGGGCTGGAAAGCAGAGGCGGGCGGGTGGAGGAAGGCTCACCATCACCATCATCACCATCACTGCGCCCGCAGGCAGCCCCCCCCATCCAGGGTCCAATGGACTGACGGACGCTGCTGGACAGACCCGGGTGTGCTGGCCCCCCGACTCCCCGATCCCTGTTCCTGCCCGTTCTCGCCCCGTTCCTGCCTGCCCGGGCACCCTGAGGGGCTGAGCCCACCGCGCCCCGGCCGCTAAGCACGGTTGCACCGAGCAGGATCAGCCCCTCGCTCTGCCAGGCTGCCAACCTGGCAACTCCCTCCAGCGCAAAATTCACTGAAAAAGGAATAAAAATGTAAATCCGGGGCTCGGCCTGGTGCGGAGGGGCAGGCTGGAGGTGTGGGCTGCCGCCCTCCTAACGCCCTGCTTTCACCTCCCGGCAGCTGGGGCCGCATCCTGCCCTCCCGCCTGGAAACGGTGCCCACCCTGCCATGTCCCCAGGCAAGGACCCCTGTCCCCCAGCCGTGCCGGTGGCAGGAACAGCTCAGGGCCGAGCCAGAGGGTTTTTGCTGGCTGTGCCATGCGCCGGGGACCCGCGTGGATTTGGCCATGTTGCTTTTAAATGCAGTTGTGCGGCAGCAATCTCTTCGGGACCGTGGTCATGTCACCGTAGTGTGTCCCCGATTTTCCCCTTTGGTGTCACGAGTGTGAAAGCTCTGGGGGACAGAAAGCGGGGCCCAAGGTTGTAGGGACCTGCGGGAAGGGGCTGAAAGGAGGGACCCCCATCCTGATCTCCATCCTTCTGTCCTTCCCCCCCTCCCCAAGGCAGGGATGAAGGGGTTAAAGGGTTTCGCCCTGGGGTGACTGCAGGCTGGGCAGGGGAGGGGACATTGATTTTATGTTAATCCTGGGCTGCATTGACCAGAAATGGAGGGATGGCTGCTGGGGGGCACGGGAGTGGGGTCACCCTCGGCAGAGCCCCCCCCCGGAGTCCCTCCCCAGGCCCTTCCAGCCCGCAGTGATGGAGAGGTGGGGAAAGAGGCTGAGACACCCCCCCACACCCCCGAAGGTGTTGCCGGTGATGCTGGGGAGGGCAAAGCTCAGCATTCAGGCCAGGGCTGGGGGGGGGGGGGTCCTGGCCCCATCCCCTCCCGGCTGACCAGTCCCTGCAGCATCGCAGGCAGCGCCGCAGAGCCTGCAGCGTCTTCTGGAGAGGAGGCCAAAGCAGCTCAGCATCCCCTCCCCTGCCCTCACCCTGCCTGCAGCCAAGGCACGAGCACGAAGGCAGCAGCATCGGGTCCCCCCTCCTCCCTCCTGATGGTCCCCAGCACACACACCCCCCCCCCCCCCATCCCCATGGTACCCCAAATCTGGCCAGCCCCCGCAGACCCACTCCGGGCTGGGTTGCTCTGCCCTGCGCCGTGCCAGCCTCGGCGGGAGCTGGCGGAGGCGGGCGGGGGGGGAGTGTGGGGGGGTTGTTTCTGGAGCGAACGTGCCCACCCAGTGCCAAACGCGCGGTGGGCGCAGGTGTGAGACCGTTGCAGATGGCTGACGCTGCAGACCCTGGCATGAGGGAGCCACGGCACTGCCACCCTTCCCGGGGCAGGGAGGGTGTGTGTGTGTGTGTGGGTGTCCCCCCTCACTCGGAGCTGCTGCTGGGAGCCGTGTCTCCCTCGTGACTAGGAAGGAGCCATCCCCCACCCAAACCGGGTCTGGGGGCTGTGCCTGTCCCCTTTGGGCCACGCTCCCCAAGGACTGGCAGAGCCCGCTGAGCTCCTGGGTCGTGGATCGGCGCCGCGTCCCCGCGGCGGCGGTGGCCAGACAACAGTGGAAAGTGGCCAAAAATGTGGTTTTAGGCTTGACCAGGCTCAGGACTGCAGGTCCAGGCCTGCAGGGACCGTGTCCCCAAAGGGGAAACTGAGGCACAGGGTCACCCAGCAGCTCAGCACCAATCACTGGGAGGGGATACCTTTTTCCATGGAAAACCAACCGATATTTGGGAAGAGCCATGCACCGGCCACAGCAGCGTTGGTGACAGCAACCGGGGAGCAGCAGGATTTGGGGACAGAGGTTTCTTGGGCGAAGCGAGGCGTGGGGACGGTCGGATCCCAGCACAGACACACGGCAGTGGGAGCATTGCTCTGCTCGGGGCCCGGGGCTGCTCGGGGCTGCTCAGAAATGCTTGCACTGTGGAAAAACCTGGGATGGTTTTGCTGCCGCTCCAGGGCAGCACGGGGCTGGAATTTGGGGCTGGAATTCAGGGCTGGGTGAGTCTTTCCTGCTGCAATTGCATTTATCAAGGTAAAATCCGGCTGGTCCCAATCCTCCGCAGATGCTGGAGGGGTGAGATCCCCCCAAACCCAGCCGGGGTCTCTGGAGCGCTCTCTGCACAAAGGCAGCTCCCGCACCCCAGCGAACGCAACAAACACCTTCTGCTTGTCCCCCTCACCCCGCTGTGCCCATGCACCCCAGCTCTCCCCCCGCCCCCCCCCCCCAGCACCCCGCTGCAC